CCAGGCACATCCAGGCAAAAAACTACACACCATGGAAACCATGCAGGGTTGCTTGTCATGGTAAACCAATCCAGCCACAAAGAACTCAGGACTGACCTTTGTGGAAGCCATGTTGATCCTTTTTCAGTAGAGCTTGTCCCTCTATATCAGGGGTCTCAAACTCGTGGCCCACGGGCCAATTGCGGCCCGTGGGACGATATTTTGTGGCCCGCACTTGATATCAAAGTTTAGTGATAGTGCGGCCCGCGCGTTTTTCTCACACGCACCTGCGTGAGTCGTCACCCTGGGTGCAATGTTCCCTCAAAGCTGCGCGCCGGGACGGGCAGGGATCCAGGGAGGGGCCCTGCGGCCTTCAGAGTGCCGGCGGCACCCGGCCAGCCTCCGGGAGCGACGCGGGATGAGCGGCCCACCACCACTGCGGGGGTGGAATCCTTGACGCGGCCCAGCCTCAGCCAGACTCTACTTCCAGCGGCCCCCAGGTCAGTTGAGGTTGAGACCCCTGCTCTATATCTTTTGGATTCCATCTGTTCTCTCTAACAGCTTCCTTGATATTGCCTCTTGCACTTTGTGCTACCATTCCTATCATGTGGCATACATACTATCTGAGTGTCTGTTACTGCGGTCTTGAGCAACCTCTGGGCATTTTGACAGGAGTTGACCATCTTGATTCTATTTTTCAACTTCCTTTTTTCCAGTTTCCTCAATTTAGATAAATTTCCTATTTTGAAATCATATGTAACTGTATTGACCTAAATGTATAAAAAACCCTACATTTTACATTATACATTTGTATAAAATGTATACAAAAACCTACAAAGCCCTTAACGGCTTAGGACCTGGTTACCTAAAGGAGCGCCTGCGTCCATATGTGCCCTCCCGCCCCTTGAGATCTGCGGGAGAGGCCCTTCTCCGGGAGCCCTCCGTGAAAGATATTAGGAGGGTAAGTACCCGGAGGAGGGCCTTCTCTGCAGTGGCGCCCAACTTATGGAATGCGCTCCCCAGAGAGGTCCACCTGGTGCCGTTGTTATTTGTTTTCCAGCCCCAGGCCAAGACCTTTTTATTTAAACGCTATTTTAATTGTTGAGTTTATTTCTTGATTTTAGATTTGTGGCCAGGATGTCTCCAGTATTTTATGTATTTTGTATGAAATATATTTATTTATGTATTGGAAGCTGCCCCAAGGCTTATGCAAATGGGGTGGCATACAAGTTGTCCAAATAAATAAATAAAATAAAGAAATATATTAAATCTGATAGCCTTGTAGCTACTGTTTCCAATCAGATCAATATTTGCTGTTGCTGTTTACATTTCACACTGTAATTCTAGGCGGAGTCCTGGGCAACCCCACCTAGAATTAAAACCCTTCTGGTCAGTGTTCTCAGGCACCATAATGTACAACACTGAGAAATTTAGGTTCTTTGTCAGAACTGGATCATTAATTTGTCTAGTCAATGTGAGGGTGGCTGAAGTCACCCATTATTACAGCATGGCCTTTGCTTGAGGTCTCTCTGATTTCATTCTTCATCTGAAGATCAGCGTAAGCATTCTGGGCTGGGGGAAGAAAGCATAGCCACAAGACTGAATTCGTTCCGGAGCCAGGTATTGTTACCCCCAGTGTTTCTGTTGAGGATCCTGTGCCTTTTAGATTGTCAAATTTGCTGGCCCCAATGCCCTCTTTGATGTACAGAACACCGCCGCCTCCCGCACGTCCTGCCCTGCCTTTCCCACAGAGTTTATATCCAGAGATGACCATATCCCATTGGTTCTTTCCATTCTGGCAAGATTCCATAATGCCCACTATCTCTAGCTTCTCCTTTAAAACCAGGAACTGCACCACACCTGTTTTGACTCAGAGGCTTCTGGCATTTGCATCAAAATACCTCACCACAGCATCTTTCTCCAGCCCTGTGCAAATTATATTCTGGCACTTAAGGCCTCTTGAACTGTTTATTAACTGTTTATGCTCACGGCTTATTTTCTTTCTTGCTATGTTTGGACAATCAGATCATTTTCCTCTTCATCCCCTCATGGCAAGGTGCCCAGCTTGCTCATGTGGAGGTCGTTTTGGACTCGCTTGGAGAAAGTGATCTCCTTGTGAGCAAGTCGGCACCTCGCCGTGCACGCGCCCGGTGGCAGCTTGCTCGTGGGGAGATCATTTTGGACTCAGAGACAAGCCCCCGGCCTCGTTTCGCCTTGCGTGCTCATACATGCGCCCCTGCCAGCACCGCCTTGGTGGTCTGTGCCCACCACTGGCGTTTGTCAGCTGGCCCCCATTCAAAAAGTTTGAGGACCCCTGTCTTAGACCAATGTGCTGATCTGAACTTATCTATGTTCATGTCATTGAATACTGTGATGCAGTTCTTGACATATCATAATATATCGAATTATTCTGTATTTTGAGAGAAAGCAAAATGCATTATTATTCTAAAATGCATTATTAAATTCTGTGTTCATTTTTATAGTTGAGGATTAATGCAGTAATGAGTAGGAAATACCTTTTCGGTCAGCTTATGCCTAAGAAAGATTAATTTCCCATCCCTACTCCAGGCACTGGATACAACACACTTCTGAGTTATACTGATAGGTGTACATAAACAGCTGCAAACACAAGCATGTTTATAAAGAAGGTCCACAGATAGCACTGGAATTTATTCCCAAGAAGACTTGTCTCAAATGTCTCCTAACTTGGAAGTAAACTCAACTGAACTCATCAGAACTTATTCTGAATAAACTTACTGTGGACTGGACTGCATATTAACATCCCTGTTTCATGCTATTTATTACAATGTGGGAATGTACTAATGTGGGCTTTTAAAAAGAAACTAAAATTGAATACACATTTTAGCCAACATAGGTTTTAACTGTGCTTTTTAAATGTGGAGAGTAGTGTAGTGTAGACTACATTATGTCAAAACATGGCAAACTTACATTAAATGGCAACACAAATGTTTCTAAACTTACTTGAGCAACCTTCTTTAGTCCATGGAAATATTGGAGTCTAAATGGCATGAGGTAACAGCATAATGTGCCAATTTAGCTGTTGAGCTGTAGATAATTGGGTAGAGTTTAAAGGGCAGTGCTTGCACTATATGTGAAAGCTCCTTATAGCAGCAACCATAAAAACATTTACTAAGCAGCAACCCCCATGAAATGTAAAGAGAATTGCTTCAGAGTAAATGTGGATAGGATTAAAACCCCAAAGGGATTTGTGGGGGTGACTAGACCCCATGCCATGCTGGCAGGAAATATTGGGAGTTACTGCCTGTTTAATTTAAACAGGTGAAGAATTGCACCCCAAATAATAGGGGGATGATGGGACAGTGAAGCATCTCAGAAGAAGCTGCTGCCATGCTTTCAGGATTCACAGCTGGGCAATGCATTTATTATGTGACGCATTTATCGCTTGTGGGATCTACCTTATTTATTCACAAACATCCCATGACCCTCAGGTAATACAGTCAGAATAAAAGTATTTGGCACTAACACATGTTAGAGCTACCAGAACTGAAGAGAGTCCATAGTCCTTCCACACATTCTGTCGCAGAATTATTTTGAACTTCCCATTGTTAAAGTATGCTTCACTGTCCTCTCCCCACATTACCTATTTCTGCTAGCTCTACTCTACTGAAGCAGAAGAAGCTGTCCTACTCAAACTCAGATCATTGCTCACTAAGCTCAGAACTTACTGGCTGGGTTCAAAGACACAAACCCCCCACTCGGGTTGAGCATAAGATTGAATGTGCTGAAAGCTATTGTTGAAACAAGCATCATCATCTTCTTCAAAACTTAAGAAAAGCCATGCTGGATAAGACCAAAGGTCCATACACAGCAGTCCATACACAGTGGCCAACCAACTGCACATGGGATCCCCCAAGCAGGATGGGTGCAAGAGCTCCTCCTGCCCAAGCTCCTCCGCAACTGGTGCATGCAGTCATCCTATCTGAAGTGTGCCTTCTTCACAGCTGCTACGCACTGGGCCAACGTTTTCATTGAGCTGTCCACTATTACCCCAAGATCCCTTTCTTGCTCAGTCATGGTTAAGGTCAGATCCCATTAGCATCTACTTGGGATTTTTTTTTTTTTGCCCCAGCATGCATCACTCTACCCTTGCTTTTATTGAACTGCACTTGCTATTTTAATGCTCAATCTGTCAGCTTGGAAAGATTCCTTTGGCGCTCCACACAAACCATGGGAAACAAGCCATAGTTCATAACCCAACAACAAACCATGGTTCTCTTCAGCAGGCAGTTCATGGTTAATAAGCCATGCTTGTTAGCAGTGCTGGTTTCAAATGACATTGAACCATGGCTTGTTAATGCATGGTCTAACACAACCCATACCCAACTGTTGAGTATGGATTACACCAGAGGAGGGGAACCAGCTGTCTGCTGGTCTAGTCCTGCTAGCAGAGGTCTGCAATTTGTCTGTGGAACTAAGGACAAAACCTTTTGCTAACAAAGCATGTGATCTCCCACCGAGCTATGACCCTTCCTGGAATAATTGTTGGCTGTGTATTCATTTACCCTACAACAAACTATCTTCTGCCTGTTGCAAAGCCAGGAAAGAAAATCCTCAAATAGATTTATGACAGTTCAAAACATACCGCAGCAGCTGCAACCAATGACTGAAGGTACTGGCTCATACTTTCGAGTATGTGACACAGTTGAAATCTATCCACTGAGATTTGAAGTCTCCAGCAGCGCTCCCCCAGCCTGGCCCTCGAGATGGGAGCAATCCCAGCCGCCATGAGTAATAGGCATGATCTTAAGGCGGAGGGAGCACTCCCCAGCTTCAAGTGATGTAACTGGGATAAAGACGGTAAGTGGATGATGTTACTGGTAAACAGTGACACCGCTGGAAAGAACGCGACCTGGTGGCACGCTTTTAAAAGTGGGTCCGTCCGAGTCAGCAGTCGAGTGCATTCCGCGTGCACCAAACTGGGCTTTCTGAGTGTAACGTGCAGCGAAGTGCAAAGGCGGCGTCTGACTTAACTCGGTTGCCAAAGAGGCGCTCTACTCCGGCCAATCAGCTGGGCCCTCCGTTCCGCCTGGGCTGCCTAAGACTGAATGAAGCACAGTAGCGAGTGGGGCGCCCGGTGGAGAGGAGCTTTCGCACGGATTCATTCTGTCTCCTGAGCTGCTTTTGACTCGGACATGAAAGCAACCGGGGAAAACTGATACCGCGTTTTGCCGGCCGACGGTCGCTTGGGCCCTTGCTCGGTAAGCGAGGCATGCACGCATATTTTACGTGTGTGTATAACTATTTTTAAATAGTTGATTGGGCAAAATGCTTTTCGTTGGGGGATGTTGGAGGCAGATGGAGAGGGAGGGCTTTTACTGAAATCTTACAGAAGTGGCCAGTGCTAAAGCGAGGAAACTCTTAGTAGCCATCTTTTTTCCGAAAGCTTTCCAGTGCTTCCCCCGCCTGCCCCAATTCGGGAGAAAGGCTTAGGGGAGCGGGGGCATCCGCCAGGCTGAATCATTCGGAACGGTTGCTAATCTTTAGAATTGCTACTTTCACGCTTTTTCAGCCAGCTCCCGTTTTTATTGCTTCGTTTGGGCTTCCTTCGCTTTAGGTAACTCGCTAAAATAAACTTGAAACTCTTCAAAGTAGGTGTGGCAATTGACTCTTTGTAACAGTAAAAAAATAGAGATTCGAAATAACTGGTTGTTTTCTCTTTCTGATTTGCTTTTCCTAGCTGCTAGGATCTCTTAGGACGACTTTTTCTTAAAAGGCTGTATTTCTATGTGCAGTTCTTCGGAAGTAGTTTAATCAGAACTTACTTCTGGATAAAAAAGCACAGAATGGTCTTTCTGGTGTCCCTCATCTTTCTTTTTGTTCTTAAACGACATGGAAACTTCTAGCCCCAAAGCTCGAAATATATTGGCGTAAATACATACGAAAGAGAGATCTTCCATCACTCCGCTTTGCAAACTGCCTCCTACCCTCCCTCTTCCTTTGTGAGCGTTTCTTCTCAGCCGGCAGAACTAGCAGATCCAGCTTTGCGCTGCTTGCTGTTAACTAAATTGCAACATTAGCTGAGCAAGAAGCGAGGAACAATGGAATTCCCTCCTCCAAATGGACTGAGTGAGCGGTTTTCCCATGGTGACGGGTGATAAATGTTTCTTATAGAATGAGCTCCCCGCTTATGGCTCTTTCCTTCAACCCCCGCCCCTTCTTTCTTCGAAACGGGGATTTCTTTAGGGTTGTCCGACCACCTATGGCGCCGCCACCCGCCAAAACTGTAATGTGGGGGTAGTTTCCAAGGAGTATGTTCAGCCCACTCCCGGGCTGTTTAGGTTAGATCTCTTCACGAGACAATGCTTACACGTGAGTACGCGGGGAAAAGTCCCATGACTCAATGGAGCTTGCTCACCGTGTTGAGCCTCTGTAGGTCTTTTCCTTCCCCCACGCACGGGAAAAGCGACCGGGCTTGTGGAGGGAAGAGTTTCTATTTGCTGCTATTCTGGTTTGGGTGAAGGGGCGTTCTTTCGTCGCTTTCCTCGCATGGAATTTGCCGGGTAGGCTCGGTGTCTGCTGCCCCCTACGGGTGAAATCCCGAACGGATCGCACGGCCGATTTCGGTTGTGCTGTGTATTTCTAGGCTGGTTCCCCGCGAGGAAAGGATGACTAAGGTCACTGAAGTTGCACCAGGCTCATCTTGACGGGGAGGAATGGAGTGGGTTGTACGTGTGAGATTTTGCAGCCGCGGACAAACAACTTCTCTGCGCGCTGTTTCTGAGCGCACGGACCGTAACACGTAACCTGAGTTTTAACGCTCTTCTCTGTAATTAGGTGAAACGCAGCGGCAGCTGGGTTCCAGTTGCAGCAGCTGATGGGGAGCGTCTGTCTTCCTAGCTGTTTACACAAGTGATGTTTCAATTAGTGTGGGGCTTTGTTTCTTTTGCATGCTCCAAACTGGTAATTAAAAGTAAATTGTCTAGAGGACCCATTTGATTCTAAAATTATTCTCCTGGATGGTTGAGAAAATTACCTCTTAGGGAGTCATGGGATGCTTCAGGTAGTCCCAGGCCTTTGCCAACCGTGAAGAACTAACAGAGGCTCACTTGGAGCTTAAAAATGTCGAGAGATTTCACAAGTTATGAAAATGTGCTTAAATTTTCTTAATTTTCATGGGGAAAGGTGCCCCTAAAGGGAATTGTTTGCCTGCTCCACCTAAAGACAATAGAACACTATTATTCTAAATGAAATGCTCAAGATACTGGCAGAGGGAAAGATGGGGAGCTTGTGCAAAAAATTAAAGTCCCTCAAATAAATTTTCCATTGACAAAATCAACAAGTGATTTATAGCCTTATGGGTGAAGGTGGAAATTGACTGTTGTTCTGTCAGTGAAGGGACTGATGGTATGACAGAGTATCTCAGATACTTTTCAAGGAGGGATTGCTATGGCCCTTCCAGGAAGCTTGGCATAGGGAACTAATGCAAGCATATGCTTGCCATGCAGAAATTCCCAAAGCATTTCCAGGGAAAAAGTTCAGAGGTTGGTCTTCATAATACAGGAAAACGTCTTGTATCAACGTTGCCAAAGTCAATAATACTGTATATAAAATGGCTTCTGCATAAATACCTTCTTCAAGGAAGGACTGTATATAAAATGGCTTTTGCGTAAATACCTTCTTCAAGGAAGGACTGTATATAAAATGACTTCTGCGTAAATACCTTCTTCAAGGAAGGACTTGGTCTGATATAAGCCCAAATACTTACACATAACTGATATAAACCCAAAAAGAAGAAGAAAGATTGATATTGGTAGCTAGCTGGAGAATGCAGCCCTTTCCTTCTTTTTGGCAAAGCAATTATGGCTACCTATAAATCCCTACTACTGTGATTTGGTGATCACCTTTCAGTCCAACCTTGGACTGAAAGAAAATAGGAATTCAAATGCAATCTTGGCTAGATCATTTCTAAGACACTAGTATTTCCATTTTCAGTTCTTTTGCATAAAATCCATCTTTCAGTGTGAGGAGGCATTCATGTGACAGCTGATGTGCTTGGTTGTCCAGAAAAGGGAGGGATCATGTGATTGAGGTCTTCTGCCCTGGTCCTGGCCTGTGTTCCTCCCTTCCGGTTCATTTTCTGCTGTTGACCAAGATAGCTTTGATGTTTCTTTCTGGTACAATCTCTAGGCTTCAGTTATTCATCCTTCTTTCCTTTTTCTCCATCTGCCTTCAGGGTCCCTCTATCTGCTTGCATTTCTGCAACAGCTACTTCTTTCTGTCTCTGACTTACTAAAATAAAAATTAAGATCCTATCCTTATACTCTTGACACTGCTTTTAATTGGCTCTTGTGCCAATACATTAAGGACACAATCATATACATGCTTAGACAGAAGAAAGCCCTACAGCTTCCAGAATGCTGGGAGTTGTTTCGAGGATAAAGGTGGAGCCATGGAAGCTGCCTTAGGTTCCTCACAAAAGGAAAAGCAGTATATAAATGCAGTTGAAATAATAATAATTGCACCCTTAGTCAAACAATAAAAAGAAACTAATGGCTAAGTCTAAACACCTACATTTATAAAAGACCACAGCAGAGCCATCTATTGTATAGGGTGGAATATATAGCATTCTTCCTGTTACAAGAACTGATAGCTGCAGCCTAATGTCAGGTGCCTCTTTCCTCCCTTGTCTGATGTTTCCTGTGGAAGATTCTGTGTATCACTGTTACCTAGTTTGTCTAGTGAGCAATGCAAGTCTGATGGCTAAACCTTGCAATCGTCAGGGAGAGCATGGAAAATTTGGTATTGCTCCTCGTGTGTCTACTGTAATGCTAGATGTAGGAGATAAGCAAAATCCTGTTAAATTAGATCAAAGACCTATCTTTTTGTTCCCACCAAGGTCCACCATATGCTTATGGGAAGCCCACGAACAGGACCTGGCTGTGGTTCCACTCAAGTTGTTTGGCAAATTATACTCAGAAGAACATTGTGAGAATATAGTCAAGATGGCTAGTAGCCAATGATAGCATTATCTACCATGAATTTGCCTCAGTTAGTGGCCAATTTGTAGCAGCAAATTCCTTGGTTTAAACATGCACAGTGTGAAGAAGCATGTCCTGAATTTCCCACTACTTGGCTTCACTGGATGCACCTGGGTTCTGGTATGACAGAGGGAGAAAAGTGCTCTCTTACCAACACCATGAATAATTGTATATACCTTTATCATGCTCCCTTAGTCATTCTCTTTCTAAACTAAAAAGTTTCAAATTCTGTTTGCCCCTCTTTTACAGTATTGTTGTTCCACCTTTCAGTTACTTTGGTTGTTCCTTGCACACTTTTTTCAGCTGTACAAAATTACCTTTCTGAGGTGCAGTTACTGGAACTGCAAACTGTATTCCAAGTGTGATTATAACACAGGTTTGTATAAAGGTATTATGGTACTGATAGTTTTAATTTGGATTTCTTTCTTAATGATCCCAGTCTGGAATTTGCCTTTTTCATAACAACTGTTGCTGAGTCAGTATTAGCATGATCGGTTACAATTGCAAGTTGCCTTTCTTAGTCAATTAAATAGAAAACAGAGGTCCTCTTTGAGAAAATTGACAGTACTCCCTCAGTCCAAGGCTGTTTTTTCTGTGCCCTTGTGTACGACAGGATATCCTCCCTTTGCTTCCCCAAACTCATCATTATGTTATAGCTGTGGGTGGTTTTAAGCATGTATCTTCTCGGTATTACCTGTGGCTGTGTGTATTATTCTCTTAGTATTATCTTCACTATACATGTGTTGGTCTTTATCCTTTAATTATCATGGTTTACCCCTGAAAAAAATGCTGAGAATTGCTAAAGATGCTACAGTTCACAGATTTTCTGGGGGAGGGAATAACTATTTAGTTTGTATTTGTGCATATAGTTTTATGAAGCTTTATGAAGCATAATGGCCCCTTAGTATAAGAGTATCTCATCTTAAGAAGTAGATGTAGATATTCCGTACTTGAAAAATGGTTTCCCAGTGGGGGAGCATCCCTCCTACACTGTGCCATTGCAGTGAGACCCTGAGATAGGGCAAAGACAGCTCCAGTCCTTTTCTGCCTATTGAGTAAGCAAAGGGGATTTGGGAAGATCTTCAGACCCAAGTATTAAAACACAGATTGGGAGAGGTGGTGCATTCCCTGGAAATGGCCAAGCAGGGCTTCTATGCCATTAAGGGTAGCATCACTGGAATTGTTGGGCAGATTACTGAGAAATTGCCAACTTGTCTTTT